AGACTCAGAATTTTGGGAAGCAGGACTCAAAATTTTGGGAAGCAGGACTCGGCATTTCAGGAAGCAGGACTCAGAAGTTTGGGAAGCAGGAGCTGGAATTTTGGGAAGCAGGAGCTGGATTTTTGGGAAGCAGGACTCGGCATTTCAGGAAGCAGAACTCAGAAGTTTGGGATGAAGTTCTTGGAAATTTGGGATGCAGGACTTGGATTTTTGGGATGCAGGACTCACAAGTTTGGGATGCAGGAGCTGGATTTTTGGGAAGCAGGACTCGGCAATTTGGGATACAGGACTCGGAAGTTTGGGAAGCAAGATTCAGAATTTTGGGAAGCTGGACTCGGAATTTCAGGAAGCAGAACTCAGAAGTTTGGGATGAAGTTCTCACAAATTTGGGATGTAGGACTCGGATTTTTTGGGAAGCAGGACTCGGCATTTTGGGAAGCAGGACTCAGAATTTTGGGATGCAGGACTCAAAAGTTTGGGAAGCAAGACTTGCAAGTTTGGGATGTGGATTTTTGGGAAGTAGGACCCAGAATTTCGGGAAGCAGGACCCAGAATTTTGGGAAGCAGGACCCAGATTTTTGGGAAGCAGGACCCAGAATTTCAGGAAGCAGGACCCAGAATTTCAGGAAGCAGGACTCGGAATTCTGGGAAGCAGGAGTCAGATTTTTCAGGAAGCAGGACTTCGAATTTTGGGAAGCAGAACCCCGAATTTCAGGAAGCAGGACTCGGAATTTCTGGAAGCAGGACTCGGAATTTCTGGAAGCAGGACTCAGAAGTTTGGGAAACAGCACTCAGATTTTTGGGAAGCAGGACCCAGAATTTCAGGAAGCAGGACCCAGAATTTTGGGATTCGGGACTTGGATTTTTGGGAAGCAGGACTCAGCAATTTGGGAAGCAGGACTCAAAAGTTTGGGAAGCAGGACTCAGATTTTTTGGGATGCAGGACTCAGAATTTCAGGAAGCGGGACCCAGAATTTTGGGAAGCAGGACTTGGATTCTTGGGAAGCAGGAATTGCAAGTTTGGGATTTGGGACCTGGAGTTTTGGGAAGCAGGAGTCAGAAGTTTGGGATGCAGTTCTCGGAAATCTGGGATGCAGGACCCGGAACTTTGAGAAGCAGCACTCAGAATTAAGGGAAGCAGGACTCGGAATTCCGGGAAGCAGAACTCGGAAGTTCAGGAAGCAGGACCTGGATTTTCAGGAAGCGGGACTCGGAATTTTGGGAAGCAGGACTTGGAAGAAAGACTGGGAGCAGGATCCAGGAAGCGGAAGTTTGGGAAGCAGGACTCAGAAGTTTGGGAAGCAGGACTCAAATGTTTGGGAAGCAGGACTTGGAACTTTGGGATGCAGGACTCAGAAGTTTGGGTTCCAGGATCCAGTAGTTTGGGAAGCAGGACCTGGAATTTCAGGAAGCAGGACTCGGAATTTCTGGAAGCAGGACTCAGAAGTTTGGGAAACAGCACTCAGATTTTTGGGAAGCAGGACCTGGAATTTTGGGAAGCAGGACCCAGAATTTCAGGAAGCAGGACTCAGAAGTTTGGGATTCAGGACTTGGATTTTTGGGAAGCAGGACTCAGCAATTTGGGAAGCGGGACTCAAAAGTTTGGGAAGCAGGACTCAGATTTTTTGGGAAGCAGGACTCAGAATTTCAGGAAGCAGGACCCAGAATTTTGGGAAGCAGGACTCGGATTCTTGGGAAGCAGGAATTGCAAGTTTGGGATTTGGGACTTGGATTTTTGGGAAGCAGAAGTTTGGGATGCAGTTCTCGAAAATCTGGGATGCAGGACCTGGAACTTTGAGAAGCAGCACTCAGAATTTCGGGAAGCAGGACTCGGAATTCCGGGAAGCNGCAGGACCTGGAACTTTGAGAAGCAGCACTCAGAATTTCGGGAAGCAGGACTCGGAATTCCGGGAAGCGGAACTCGGAAGTTCAGGAAGCAGGACCTGGATTTTCAGGAAGCGGGACTTGGAATTTTGGGAAGCAGGACTTGGAAGAAAGACTGGGATCAGGATCCAGGAAGCGGAAGTTTGGGAAGCAGGACTCAGAAGTTTGGGAAGCAGGACTCGGAAGTTTGGGAAGCAGGAGCTGGAATTTTGGGAAGCAGGACTCAGATTTTTGGGAAGCAGGACTCAGATTTTTGGGAAGTAGGACTCAGAAGTCTGGGATTCAGGATCTGGAATTTTGGGAAGCAGGACTCAGAAGTTTGGGATGTAGGACTCAGAATTCTGGGATGCAGGAGCTGGAATTTTGGGAAGCAGGACTCAGAAGTCTGGGATTCAGGACTTGGATTTTTGGGATGCAGGACCCAGAATTTTGGGATGTAGGACTTGGATTTTTGGGATGCAGGACTCGTGTTTTTGGGAAGCAGGATTCAGAAGTTTGGGATGTAGGACTAAGAAGTTTGGGATGTAGGAGCTGGATTTTTGGGAAGCAGGACTCAGAAGTTTGGGATCCAGGATTCAGAAGTTTAGGAAGCAGGACTTGAAATTTTGGGAAGCACAGCCTGGAATTTTGGGAAGCAGGACTTGGAAGACTGGGAGCAGGATCCAGGAAGCGGAAGTTTGGGAAGCAGGACTCGGATCTTTGGGAAGCAGGACTCAGATTTTTGGGAAGGAGGCCTCGGATCTTTGGGAAGCAGGCCCCGGAATTCCGGGCCTCGGGACTCACATGAGGACGGGTTTGATGGCGTTCTTGATATTCCCGTAGGCGGCTCTTCCCAACAATTCCCGGAGGCAGCGCTCGGCCAGTTCCGTCGGACTCTCCTTCTCCTTCTCCGTGGCTTGGAGAGGCGACGGGGAACGGCTGGAAAAGCGGGAAAGGGAGGTCGGAAAACCCCGGGAACGGGGGGATGGAAGGGAAAAGGGGGAGAATCCGCCACGGAAAAGGGGAGTTGTTGGGTTCTATCCCAAAAAAACGGGGATGGAAAACGCCGGGAGATGCGGGAGGGGCGGCGGGATGAAGATTCCCGGCTCCAAAGGGAGCGGGAAGGGGGTTTTATTCCCGGTTTGTGGCTGCCCCTGGATCCCTGGGAGCGTCCAAGGAAAAGCTGGAACCGCCTGGGATAGCGGGAGGTGTCCCTGAACATGGAATGGGATGGGATTTAAGGCCCCTTCCCACCCAAACCATTCCAGGATCCCGGATTCCATGTCCCGGTCCCGGGTCCCCCTCCAGGGTTTTGGCT